ACGTTAAATACAGGTATGCACAAAACTTCAATATGAACAGGTGCCGTTCAGATATTATAATTATGATTTTCACCAATTTAATTATTTCATCCACACCAATCCTGATAGTTATTTTTTTGACCGACCGTAGATAAATGGAATAATTGACTACGTGCTTCTTATTTGCTAGGACAAATTCACATCCTGTCTAACGTTTTACCCTGTTACCTCAGTTATTTTCACCCGGACTCATACACTTCTACATCATTTGCTCACTCACTCTTTAGGCGCGTTTACCGATGGTTTCTTCTCATGTATAACGTTTCGTACGTCTTGGGAATTTCCGGTTACGTTCTAATGATGCTGACCATTTTCCAAATCAACATGATTTTTCTACTCCCAACACCCCTGGCCATGGACATTTCCGTTTGCTCACTTTTCTACGGTCTCTATTATGGTGTGATCTCAAGGGATTTTGCCGAAGTTTGTTCCGATAAAATGGCTGCTCAGATAGGCGTAAGTTCATGAATCATCATCATGTAAGCATCTTCACCTCCTGTGATTTGGTCACGCTTCTACTCGCTATCTGCTCTTTTCGTTACAGTATCATGTTCCTCAAGGGATGCCAGTGCGCAGACTAGACCCGTCTGTCTGCTCCATATGTACAAATCTGCTTGACACGGACTATCCGGAGAAGATACACAAGCTCAACTGTCAGCACACGTATCCTTTTAGTTTGTGAAGTTTCATCGTTCATCTTCAGCTAATACATTCGTCATTCTGAACACATGTTTTAACCAGAATCAGTTCCACTAAATCTCCGAACATACACAAGTTATTACTTTGGTTACTGGGGTTATTTCTCTGTGTGTATCTACGGAGAGCCTATAATCTACACCTCTATTCAGTTTTCGCTCATGTTTTTTTTCACTTTCACGCACGACATTGTCATCCATTTGTTCTATGCCAGTAGTGGTGTGTGTGTGTGTATGCGTGTTCAATTCGTTTGCCGGAGAAGGAAGTCTCCCAATAACTTTACTACTGTATGTGGTCCTCAAGAAAGACTGAAAATTGATGGGTAGTGAAATGGAAGTAGCAGCTGCACCAGGGAGTATTCAAAGACTGTTCTGACTGATACGCAATACGGCCGGTCGGCGGACTGCAGTTTGTGATAAGAGGGGACAAACTATTCACAAAAATGAAAAACGGCTTAATCGCTGGGTGGAATACTTCAGCGAACAGTTCAGCTGGCCTGACGCTAACCAGGTTAATTCATCTGTAACTAAAGCTCCGTGGGGAGTGTTGTGGGATTCTTCGGCAGAAGTAGAAGTTCGGTCTTGCATTCAAGCTTTGAAACGAGGGGAAGCAGCAGCATCGGATGGGCTCCGTCCCACTGCTTTCAGTATGGTGGGCGATAACCTCGTAAGATCTATAACTACCTTACGGCGTAACAGTTGAGCACAAGAGCACGGGCCGGTGCCAATGTTAGACAGCGGATCACTTTGGTTCCGTGATTTAGCACTCCAATCGAAACGCGACGATTCTAACAAAGAGATAGTAATCAGACTAGGGATTGTGCTCTTAGCACTGCGTTGAAGCCAGTGTTGCAGTTGGTGCTTTCTGATAAACGACACCGTTCGACCAATCTAAGTGTTACCATAAGTGCTCCTTTGTTGATAGATGATCATCAATATGGGATTCGACGAGACGAATTCGCCTTTTTTCTCACATCTGATAACAAAATTAGTTAATAATTAGCCTGGCCACGTTGAATGTGGCTTTGGCTGCAGTATAAAAACCTTGTTGGTGGTCTCCTGTATGACGTCGTATTTAAGCAAATGACTGATCAATCGAATTTTTTTAGCCACTCCCGTAAACCTTTCTGATGTTCATCCATAACTCATGTTGCTGTGTGTGAGTTTTTCCGGGTAGTCATTCGTTGCAATCACGTTACGAATTGTGCGAAGTTCCGCGTTCAGCATGTCCTCATATCTCTGACCCTTTTTGGCCTATGGACGTAAAGCTGTAAAAGTTTGTTCACTATCAATTCCATGCCACAATGACTTTCCCCGTTGACCCACTTCTAGCAGACATTTTTAGTGCTTATGTTAGAAGGCCGAGAATTGAAATCGATTATATCAAGCCTATTGCATTATTATCGATACGTGGGTGTTATCTTTTGGACAGCCGAGCAACGCGTGAACATCGGTAAAGCTGTAGAAATCCACATTCCGCGATAACTTTCTGTTCCGGGGTAGAAAGTAATAACTGTCCAGGCTTTTTTAGATGTTGAGCTAACGTCATGTTCCGATGACCCTGTCCGATGCAGAATTTTTAGGACAAGATACATGGAATAAACAGTTCACAAAATTTCACAACTGTTTGCCCTGAGAAGGATTTACCTGTCTGGTAAGCTCCATATTGCTCCGCTTGTCATCATCCGTCTTCGTTTTCTTTACTTCGAACTGCTCTTGCATGTCTGTTTACCGCTCGTTAAAGCTGAACTGAATGACTTAACACAGTTTGTCTCATTGCCTTAGTTAGCCTCAAATGGCATAGATTTTGCCTATCGCACCATACATGTTCATTTTCGGACAGACTTGTAACTGACTTTGTGTGATACTTTCACGACTGTTCTCGAACTGCAGTGGCAGCCTTTCGTGTATCGTGATTCCGTTGAAACGCCAGATGTTTGTGAACTTTCCACAATCAAAGGATTTGAAACCTGTGTTGCACTAGGTAGCTTGTATGTGTATAACTATAAAGTGTATGGTGCTTGACACTCAACATAATACAGCGCACTAGATCAGTTGTGAGTTGTTCCCGGGGGAGGAAAAAGAGGGTTAATTTCAAGTCATCAATTACAAGGAATCTAGGTTATCATGTCAACTGCTTCTGGGGTATAACAATTTGGAACTCAATCGATGACTTAAATTGCGAAAAATACATCATTGCAAATAACCACATTATATTTATTTATTTTAAACTACTGTATGGAGAATAGCGGGCTAAAATCCTAGTGATTCAGACTTGACTCCAGCTGTGTGTGTGTGTGTGCAATTGATCCCAAACCGACTTATTTGGAAATAGGAACATTTGAGTTAGTCACAAGCCTGATGTGTTCACACCCCGTTGAGTGTAACTATTCCGCAGATGTGCTACACGCGTTTCCCCTAATTCGCAAACCTGACACACTAGACACTAGATACTCACTAGCCACCGAGTGTTGCATGTTAACCACAGTGGATGCCTCAAGCGTTCACACCCAACTTTGGTGGTAGGCAACTTTGCTGTCGTCCGGTCCAATATCACACCTAACCTATCGGGGCCTTAAGTGGTTCGCCACTTTAAGTCCCTGAAATTAGGTTACCAGTTTCCATCACTGAACAGCAGGTCCTCGTGAGTATGGGGCTTTTCCCGTCTGCTGTTCATCACACGAAAAGGGTAATAAAAAATGTTGCAATCGTATAGTAGTTATCCGTGGTTTATAATGCAAATGGTCTCATTCTCTTAGGCAACTTTATTGGAGTCATGTAGATGACCTGGAATGACCTATCAACGCATGAAGTGATCAGTGTTGATACAGTAATCTACAACTGAGTTTCTGATGGTTTTTGTGAATATTTTTTCGGTCATATCGGCTGATGCTTTTGGATCCGTTCGATCGGTTGCCGATTGATAAGGCCTATGTGATCAGCTCCATAGGAATAGGAGAAATCACAAGTACACATCAAAATGGTTTTGCATTAGCAATCGATTTTTTTAGTTTGGAAACCAAATACGAATGAACTGAATAAAATATTCGACCGCATGGCGAGTGTTCACTGGTAGAGAATAGGTACAGTTTTTTTCCTTTTGGTTGTCCTGACCCGTTTTAACCACCACATTTCATTTAATTAATCGTTTACTAATCCCCCTCCCATCACCCTCGTCACCAATCAAATGTTTAAACATGGAACTGAAATTGTATTTATTTTTCATGAGTTGCCTTTGGTCGTCTTCTTGACCGTTGAGATGTTAAACGGTGAATCAAATTCCTTGACACATGCTCATCTACACATCGATCGTCTGCAATCAGTTTCCATGACTGCTGCATACGGGGTTGGTGTATTGTGGGAAAAAAGGACACTTGCCCATATTGCAAAGAGAAAGTTAATCTGAAGAAGACTTTCACAAATCCGTATCCTTTTTCAGAATCTTCGTTGTTATCCCCATAAAATTGTTGTCTGTTCGTATTCCATGTACATCCCCATGCATTTATTTCCTTGTCGCTCTGGTAAGTGAGCACAGTTTCCTACATCAGTCTATCAAGCGGAGTGGATTTTTGTTATTTGGGTTACTTGCATTTCTTAGCTTAACCATCCTCAAACCGATTTCTATGTCTTGATTCGGGTTTAGCCTTTAGTGATCGCTTTGCAAACAGAACCACTAGTGATCAGCTTTTTCCGATTGTTTGACGAACTGCTCACATCTTGACCCTACTTTGTTTGGGCTCCGGCTTTGCAAAGTGAACCACGGAGTTCGGCCTCGTTTCTCTCCCCCCCCCCCCCTTGNTGTCAACCGCTGCGAACTGTGCTTATCCTTTTGCGACTAGGCCGTTGTGTATCCTCGATTGTGTACTCATCTATAGACAGTAGAACAATTCTGGAGTGGTCTCATGGTTCTAGGAAGCTTTTTAAGCCCGATCACTGTGACGCAAATAATTTCCTTCATGTTCCATTAACTGACCTCACCCAATTAGGTGTTTCATGCAACCAGTTCCCTTAAACAATTCCATGAGAGCAAGAAGAAGCATCATGATCACAGGATGTGTTGAATTCAACTATTTCGTGGTAATCTCATCAGCTGTGTACATATATTCAGATCACGTTTGGTTAAAAGAGTGACAGGTTTTGGGACAGGCGAACACACACAGGGAAGAGAAATCAATCAATACGAAGGCCAAAGATCACCAAGAGGAGCCGGATTTGGCATAGGGACAGGGAGCGGAATAATTATAATATCATAATAATAATTAGATGTGTTTCCGACTAATTTTCTGACAGCCGGAAGGGTATTTCAACCTGGTCCAGTCTCTATATAGTCGAGGTCAAAGTTTTATTATGAGCGATTTAACAAAGCTGAAGCCTAGCATGCCCCATAGGACTTTTACAGAATCTTTTGAATAACTTCACAAAGAGAAAATAAAAATGATAATGCGTGATCACTCACGGATGTTGAAATTTTAAGTGTTCCAATGCTTTATCAAGTTCAACTGTAGGAGCACACGCTACATCAGATGGGAGAGAATTCCATACGCCTCACATTCTGACTGCAAACGAGTGATGCTGGCAATCAAGGTGGCTGTTCTGGGTCTTCACTT